CAGCGGAAGCTCAAAACACACAGAGAATTGAAAAACGAATTTCAATTCTGCAATCCCTCGTCCTCCTCCAATCAATCCAGAGTACTTGTTCCAAGAATCACAACCGTGTTTACAACAACCCCGAACAACCAGAAACAAGCGTTCAATGAAGTATGTAGGAGTCTTCTTCTTCCTCCTCGCCACCTCATACCCCTGGCTATGGCTGTCGTAGCAGCAGTAACCCCACAGCTGTCACAACGTGCCAATCTGAACCAGCAACCCTAACGATAACAGCGCCAGCTCAGCACCCGCACGGAAGTGCAGCACTGGAAGTCCTGATGAAGAAGTAAACAACTGATCCAGCACTTCGAAGAAGACAAAGTTCCTCCAGAGGAGGAACAGCAGATATGGCTTCCAAGTGGAAGATGGCAGCACCCAAACCCAACAACACAGTCCTGTGGAAGCTCTCATGCAGAGCTGCGAAATAGCAGCAGTGCGATCTTGAACTTCGTTTCCCAACCCCCAGCTATGGCTGGGCTTCGAGGAAGAAGATGACCTCGCCCAAAATAGAGCAGCAGCGCTCCAACAACGGACGGGCAGAGTTTCCCCCAGCCAACAAAAACGTGAAAAGACCAAAACCAAATTCCCTGTCCGCTACTTCTACCCTTTGCCTAGACCTAGGACGGACTCCAAAGGCCACAACCCAATACTCATCTGCATCTAGATGGAAACAGGAGGAAAAGGTAACCTAGACCTATGACAAGGCAAAAGGAAAAGGCGGAATGGCCTAAGGCTACCAAACAGAGACTAGTAGTGACAGACGATCAAGTCCCATGGGACTCAAAACTAACAAACAAAACATACAAATTACAGGTCACGGGATCAAGTCCCGCCAAGCTCAAAACAAGAAAACAAACTACAAAGCCAAACACTTAGTGTACAGCCCCACTGGGAAACTGCAACTTATTGCACTCCTATGCATTTCGCTTCAGATCTTCAGCTAAGCCTTATACTTAGTCTTTTTGTGTCCGTCCTTCATCTTCATACTTCTGTTCATTTCATTTCTGATCTTCATATCATATGTTCTCTTACCGATGCTCATTTGTATGTATTTGTTAGTAGCACAAAGGGAGTGGAGGGGAACATGTTGGGTTGAGGAGCAGTTAATGCCTATGGCAAGCGGCCACCCTTACAGACCGGACAAGACCGGTTCGGGTGTGGACTATGGAAGCAGCAGCACATCCAGTTCTCGCAGTCACAGTTGCTGCATCAAATGGCACGGTGCAGACAGATGTCACAGGCTACGTGGCTCCTACATGTTAGGAACACAGAAGCACGTCGACCGTAATTATAGAGGCATTGCCGTTCCAGCCCCTATCTACAAATTGGACATGACATGTCAGGGTGCCGTACATGAGTACAGTACTGACTGTCGTCGTATGTATGGA